TTTATTAGCACACACACAACTACTGTATTTTTGTCCACCCTGTACCAATTGGAATCAACATGTGATACATTTTTGGAATCAGCTCAGCTAGAGTAATCCGAAAATTGAGACAAAATGGGGGTGTTCCATTTAAAAAAAATGACGGTGACGTCATTACTCGAACGTAATTCACCCTGTATATTAGATTATTATTTTAAAATACGGTAAATTAACATAAAAAATCGACGTGTTTCAGGATTATTTCTTAAAATGACCTGTTTAGCTAAAAATGAATTTGTTCCATACTTTACGGACACAGTGTATATTAATGATGAATATATATAACGAATATATGATAACCTTTTTTGCGACATCCCAGTCGTTCTTTTTTGGGCGTTTAGCGTCCTCGAAGATGGGCGGTCTGTTGTTATCAAGAGTCAGATTTTCCATTCCATGTCGATAGTTTTGAGATTTTATTTCGAAATACTCATTCTCTTGTGAAAAAAATTGTTATGTTTTGCCCAAGCTTACAAGCTCTATAATAAAATTTTGAATACGTAAGTTCATCACTCATGCTCAAATGAAAAACAACAATAGCTATTATGAAATTCGCTTTTTTCAGAGTTTCCCAAGCTCTGGTTATGGGGACAACTTCCATTGCCAACTCTCTGGCTTTCTCACCAAACTTAACAGCGGGATTGGAAGCTGCGAAAAATGTCAAGCAGTTCCTAGCAAGAGTACCTAAGATACAGGATAGCTCTACGTCAAAAAGTATTCAACAGGTAAAAATTCTGCAAATTTCAAGAATAGATCCAGAAAATATTAATTCTTAGAAAGAAAAAAGATCACAATGGTCAACCAACTACAACAACTAGGAATCCGTTACTATTCATTCATTTAGCATGTGCCTGAAATTTTTTCAATTCCTAATTTTGATATTCAATATGGAAATTTTCTTCTCTTTATGAATCTTTTTTCTATTTTGTTTTTTAGATATTTACGAGAAACCAAACCCAATTTATTTTTCACTTAATAGTTTATAACTTTTGCAATTTTTGCACGTCGTTTTTCGGAGGCGGAGAAAAAAGTTTGGCCCGAAAAAGGCACTTTTTGACCAGAGTGATTTGGCTGAATCAAAAAAACGAAGCCACTTCGCCAAATTTATGCTAATCTATTGGGGGCCCTGGGCATAATAGGATAATGGGACCCACTATTTTGTTAGAATAGACAAAAAAAGTAGATAAACAAGGTTAAATATTTATTTTTATTAACAATCACATGAAACGAATAGATAAATGTAACATAGTCCACAAAAGTGACTTTTTTAGCATTTACAGGTTAGTGCTTGAAAATCTATGTTATTTGAAGAGGAACCCTTCTGGATTTTAGATGACCTAAATCGTTAATCACTTCTTCAAAATCTATGCTTTTTAGCACATCAGATTCTATCGACATCAGTGACAAACTCTTCAATCTCTCTTGAAGCATTGTACTTCTTAATTCATTTTCAATNGGGGGGCCCCTATCGATCGCGGGCCCCTGGGCACTTGCCCAAAGTGCCCACTAGGAAAGAGGGGTCTGCAGATCCGATTCAGTTCAGATTCAGATTCATTTGAGAAGCAAAAATGTATTAGTACGGTCATTGTAGTGGGAGAAAGTTTCAGTAGCCGTTTTTCTGAAATTGCAATAATAGAAACCTACGTGAGTTATAGTAATGATGTCAAAACAATGAAAACATTTTTCGTTAGCTTGAAATGGTTGATATATAGGTCGATTAATTATTGTTTATTGATTTATATGTATTTTATGCGTCGATTATGATCATATATGCTGTGTATAACCTGTGCTGTTTATGAATTGATATAATGCTAATATGTTTTGCCATACCTACATATTCTCATGTTTTCAAATGTATAAATATCATGTGTTGCTCTCATGAACGAAATTGAACAATATCAAAAAATGTTTTAATTTAAGTTTAATTTAAAATTCGCTCGACCCACCAACATCGAAAAGTCAATTTGTTTTATTAATCCTCCATTTATAACACTAAAAACTTTCAGGTGGATGGAAACTTTGATTTCTCCAGGATAAACTTCAGTTATCCTACCAGGTCCGAAATCCAAGTACTCAAAGGACTCAATCTGAGCATCCTTCAAGGAAAAACTGTAGCATTGGTCGGTCAAAGCGGCTGTGGAAAATCGACTATAATCCAGTTGATCGAGCGATTCTATGATCCATCGTCTGGAGAGGTGAAGTTAGATGGAAATAACCTGAAATCTATGAAGTTGGAGTCGCTAAGATCTCACTTAGGTATAGTTTCTCAGGAACCGAATCTATTCAATAAGACCATAGCGGAAAATATCGCATACGGTGATAATTCAAGAGAGGCGGATATGAATGAAATTATGCAAGCTGCCAGGAATGCCAATATCCACAATTTCATTGTGGATCTACCAAAGGTGATATTAGAATAATCAATTTTTATAACATTATCATGTTATTATAATTATTTTCACTTCACTTCAAAATTTTCTTCGGTTGGACCCAACATAGGCAAGATGAACTAGATTGAATTTCAATAGTTCGGACTTCCATTATCTATCATGATGTAACATGATTTGCAATCTCTGAAATAACAGATGAAAATTAAAATCAAAAACAATAGCTGAAAATGACAATCAAATTAAGCAAAAAAAACCCTGAAAAGAAATCACAATAAAATGAAAATTAAACAAAAAATTGAAAATTGAACAATTCAAATGAAACGGTATTAATGAAATATCATAAATACGATGTGTTGCCTTTTATGTTTCGGGATTTGGCAACCCTAGTGTTGCGATCTGGCAACTGACAGCTCTATCGTAAAGTTNTTGGGAAAAAAGTACGCCACTGACTTGTTGTTTTTTTTATTTTTTCAAAATCGTGTAATCAACTAAAAATACAAATGTTTTGTCACTAGTGCTTTCTTCAAATCCAGTTTCGTTTTCTAAAAAAAAATGAAGCCACTTTGCCTATCACGAACACCTGCTTTGGAGAGCAGCTGATAGTGATAGTGTTGTCATATCAGTGAAAATCAGAGTTGTCAATTAGTAGTGGTTCTATCATGAATAATTTTACTAATGCTGCAATGGCTGACATGAACCTTATTTATGGATTAGCAAATGAAAACGCAGAAAAAGCACAGATAATTTACCAGGACAGATATATCAACAGAGTAATTCCATGTGCTAAAACATTCAGAGCACTTCATGCAAGATCATGTAAGTTTTAATAAAAATATGGGTGGTGGAAGATTAGAAACTGTAACAATGCCTGAACTAAAAGAAGCTATACTTGATGCGTTAGACGAAAATCCTTCATATAGTACCTGGAAGATAGCAGGTACTATATGATACTTCCAGATACTTCCAGATACTTCCAGATACCTGGAAGGTAGTCAGCCCAAAAATCGTAATAATATTTTGCAGGTGGTTGATTCATACGATGGCACACCAGTAAGATTAACAAGTGAATCCTACACGGAGATCGTGTACCCATTTTGTGAGAACAAGTACCGGTACTTGTAAAAGGCAACATGTGATTTATGCACAACGAGGCTTCAGCTCATTTTAGTGTTCTTACTCGTCAGCATCTCGACCTCACCTACCGTAATCGCTGGATTGGACGTGCGGGACCTCAAAATTGGCCAGCTCCCAGTCCTGATATGAATCCTCTACATTTCTATTTATGGAGTCATCTGAAGGCTCTTGTGAAACTCCTGTACTAGACGTGAATGAATTAGGAATCGAATAATTGACAATTGTAATGTCATAAGGAATACTCCAGGTATTTTGGAACGTATCAGACAATCAATGACAAATCGGTTGCAGTCGTGTATTTCATTAGTAAGTGGATATTTTGCTCATTCACTTTAAGGTCGAAATTGTTTATTATTTACTTTTGGTTTTTGTTTTATGTTGTCCATGGATAGTTTTTAGAAGTGATTTTTTTCTCGAAAAAAGAGAAGAGAACCCAAGCGACGAAGAAGTTGTATTCTTAGTTGAATATTCTGAAAAAATAAGAACCTACAAAAAAGTCAGTGGCATTTTTTTCCTCAATATTGTTGGTTTAGGTGCCCACTGAGACGCCACTGGACCTAATAATTTCAGTCTATTTCGGGCTAAATAAGC